ACGAACCATCCTAAACAATAATTATCATAAACCCATAAACAGACCAAACACCACTCACACCACCTCTTGGGAATGTGGGCGTCATGTTAGTAAAATTAATTCCTGCTGTTTGGGGACAAAGGAATCTTTAGGGGATCCTGAAAAGAAAAATTTTGAATTAATTGTCAAGTCCTGGGGGAGGTAGCTCTATCATTTGTTGTCCAGTCTCTGCATAATGCAAAAGTGCAGGGATTATCTCAAGTCCTTGTTCAAGAAGTCTGTGAGGCTGGATCATCGCAGAGAGCCATTTTGGAATTGTCCTGAGCAGTTTGTAGTCCAAAGCTGATCTTTGGGTGATGTTTGTCAGCTTAGTGGTATTATTATTGTCCATGTGGAATAGTCATTGTGGGGCCCCATCATCTTTTTAGAGACTTCAAACTGGCTGTTAGGTGTGGTCGTGATTCCTTGCAGAAAACTGAGAGAGACTCAAACACAAAAACTTGTACAGGCAGCCAGCTATCTGTGTTATTTTAGATTTTTTGAAGTTGCTTACAACGTACTTCCTGTTTTCTTAGGTAATATATCCTTCTGGAGTCTTTGATGTAGTTGAAGAAAAGATAATTATAATTATAATTTTTCCTTAATTATGATAAATGATCAATTAAATACAAAACTTTAGACTCACAAATATAGGCTAGATAGAATATTTTCATTGATTTTTGCCAAATACAAATAGTCTAGATATTATAACTGCAATTCTTGCTTGATAACTCTTCTATTATATGCAGTTTTACTATGTGAAAGTTAAAACTTTCCTTTTTATTAGATAGAAAAGGGGAAGGGCTGTGGGATCTTTCTGTATGCTGTGAATATGTGTTGCTCTGATTGGTTGATAAATAAAGCTGCATTGGCCTATGGCAGGGCAGGAAGGAGCCAGGTGGGAAAATCCAAGGGAGATAGGGAAAGGAAAAAGAAGAGGCAGGAGAGACACTATCTTGCAGTCAAAGAAGCAGCACGTAATGGCACACAGGTAAAGCCATGGAACACGTGGTGACATATTGATTAATAGAAATGGGCTGATTTTAGTTATAAGAGCTACCTAGTAAGAAGCTTGAGCCATAGGCCATCACCATACAATTCATAATTAATATAAGCCTCTGTAAGTTTATTTGGGTCTGAGCAGCTGTGGGACCAGGCAGGGCACAGGAAAACTTCAGACTACACACCTCTCTGTATGAACTAATATCCCTGTACTATCAAGTGAAATCCTCTTGGAATAAAGCAACAGATCACTACTTTCTACCCACCCAAAGGCTTGGAATATTATTAAATGATTATTGAGCTTATACTAGATTTTACCCAGCTAGCTTTAATCTCCCATACTTGATGCTCCCATCAATAGAACTGGGGCAGAGAGAGCGAGAGCACACAGGGCAGAGGTGGCACATGCCATTAGAAATTCATTAACAATATTTATTCAATAAGCAGGGAATTCTTTTTCTATGCCCTATCTTATGTCAATTGTTCTGGGTGTGCTACAAGCACATATTCATAATCCTATATTGTTAATGGTGCCAAAAGATTTTGAAAACTCTAATTCAATATATTGCAAGTGTATCATGGGATTTTATCATTGCTGGTTTTTCTAATAGAATTTCTTGCCAGGTGGTGGTGGCTCACTCTTTTAATCCCAGCACTTGGGAGCCAGAGGTAGGCAAATCTCTGTGTTTGGGGACAGTCTGGTCTACAGAGCTGGTTCTAGCACACTAGCACAGTGTGGTCTACATGGTGAAACCCTGACTTGAAAACACACACACACACACACACACAGAGAGACAGAGAGACAGAGAGAGAGAGAGAGAGAGAGAGAGAGAGAGAGAGAGAGAGAGAGGTTAAACTTAACACCAAAGATGAGAGGAGAAAGATCACCAACCCAAGTCATCATTGCCAAATTAATTAAAGCAAGCTTTTTTATTTTTATTTGTGTACATGGACTGCCCTCCCCTAAGTTGGAGTCAAGAGGTCAACAATGGACATGAGGAAGAAAAAGGTTTTGTAGCTTAGAGGTAGGGGCTTTCCAAAAGGGAGGATTTGGTGGACAAAGTAGGTGGCATTACAGGAAGAGAACAAAAGCATAACAAGTTCATCATAACAGTCTCCTCAAACAAAGACATAGTGGCAAGGTGGGCATAACAATCTAGTTATAACAACAGGTAGTCATAACAACTTTTTGAAACAAAGATATGGTTGTCTTTTCTCAGAGCAGGCCATAGAGAACCATGTGTAGATAAGGTTACAGGTGAGATATAACCCAATCCTTGAGAAGCAAAAGTTTAATCATAAATAGGAATGAACATAGTTTCTCTTTATTATAAGATGATCTTTCACTCTAAGATGGAGGAAGGCTGATTCATCAGTAGCCCAGGCTATTCTCAAATTCACTATGTAGCCAAGGATGATCTTGAATTTCTGATCTTCCTAACTCTACCCCTTATGTGCTGGGGTTATATTCATGTACCACCATGCTTGAATTTTGTGGTGCTGGGAATCAAATCCAGCCAGGACTTCCTGCATACTTGGTAAGCAATCTACCAAATGAGCTCTCTCTCTCCACAAAAGCTGTTTTTGCATTGACAGAGGAACATCTGGCTTGAACATTGTACTCAATTGTAATTTCTAGCTGGCTATAGACTGCTGTGGAACAATCTCTGTACACTGTAAACATGTATTGCTCTCATTGTGAATAAAAAGCCGATTGGTCAATACCTAGACAGGATTTTTTTGGGCAGAGAGAATGCTGGGAGGGACAAGGGCTGAGTCTGAGTGTCATTGGCAAGATACAGAGGGAGCAGGATATGAGGTAACAAGCCATGAGCCATATGGCAGCACATAGATTAATAGAAATGGGTTAATTTAAGTTACAAGGCCTAGCTAAAAATCAAGTCTTAGCAATTGGTTGCACATTTATAATTAATAAGAAGTTTCTTTGTGGTTTTTTTGGGGGGAACTGGCTGGTGAAAAATGAAAGTCTGACTACAATAGACAGACACAGGTGCTCCTAGTAACTTTCTGAAACATGATGTGTTATCCATATTCTTCTTTGAATCAAGCAGTAAATCCATTCGAGCAAAAAGAGTATTCATCCTGCCCTAACCCAATGCTAGGCCATATGTAGTTCCTTAAATGACATAGTGAAATAATAAGGAAATGTAAAGATATAGGGGCTAATGTAGAGTTGTAGGGACTGGGGTATATATTAAGCATGAGGTTCATTTCTCAGCACAGTCACCCAGAATAGGATGCAAATATTTAATGATATACAAATATGTTGTCAATGTTTTAGAAAATGAACAGAATAACTTACAGAATAATTTGGATAAGATACTTGAATTAAACTATTCCTCACTTGCTTGGCCTGGTAGTGCAGACTTGTAACTCCAGCTGCTCTGGAGGTAAAAGCAGGAGGGTAGGAAGTTCAAAGCTGGCTTGGGCAACTTAGCCAGACCCTGTCTCAAAATTTTTGATTAAAAAGAGCTAGGGATGTAGTTCAGCCAGCTCAGGCTAGAGTGTGAGTCCTTGTTTCAGAAACAACAAAATGAAAACATTTAAGCATTTTGTTTAAACATTCATCAGAAAATGGACATGTGTCTTGTTTCACACTTGAGGTCATGTGAAAAATGGTATCAGGAACATACATGGAAGGAATTTTTAGTAGAATGGGCTGCTTTCAACCAAATAGGAGAAGGACTATTTGAGTGGAGGTACAGGACGATCAGATAGAAAGAGGAAATCAGGGGTACAGGGTAGAGTGGGGGAAGGGGGAATGAAAAAGTAAAATGAAACACGTCTATAAAAATGTCATTTCATCAATAACGAAAGGCAACAATTTGTCTGCTAATTTAAAAAATTAACACTGGGAGGTGGTAGCACACATATTTAGTTCCAGTACTTAGGCAGATGCAGGTAGATCTCTGAGTTTGAGGCCAGTCTGAATCTACAGAGCGAGGTCCAGGACAGCCAGGGGTACACAGAGAAACTCTGTCTCTAGAAAAATGAAACACCAACAACAGCAAAAACCTTTAACAATCACAGAGCACATATAAAAAAGGAATATCTCTTTTGGTTTCTTGGCTCTGTAGTAGAGCACAGGTACCATGAAGACAGGAAGGGGAAATGGGGGGAAACATAAGTGGGGAGGGCAATGAGGGGGGTGGGGGTGGGGGTGGGGGGAGGGTGATGTATGGGGTGGGAAAGCTAGCAGGAGAGGGGATGGATAAAGAATGCTTTGGGTGTTTGAAAAAATCCATAGGCAGATCTAGTTCTCATAGGCTTTCTTAAAAATGCATATACAAAATATGTACATGTAGTTTAATTGGAAATATCCCATCCTGGGGAATAATGCCCTCCCCTGGAAGCACAGACATTAGGAGAAAAAAATCTGGTGCCAGGTGTGTGAAACCTCCTTTGAGTTTTGTGGTTTGATAGTCCAAGAGATTTCCTCAGACAATATAAACTGTTGCCATTGGTCTGGTTGCCTGCCAGAACTTGAGGACATGCCCCTCCTGAAGAGCAAGCAACCACTGCTCTTCCAAAGGACCCAGGCACAGTTCCCAGCACTTCTGAGGCAGCTCACCGCCATCTGTGTCTATAACTTCGGTTCCAAGGGATCCAGTGCCCTCTCAGTTCCTCTTCTGTCCTCTGTGGGCACAAGGAATGCTTGTGGTACACACACATATATGCAGGCAAAACACCCGAAGGGGTGTGGTGGCACAACACTTTAATCCTTATTAAAACCTATTTAAGCTTGTTTCTCCCGTAAATGCTAATTTCCCGTTATATGGTTCCCTCAGTCACCCTTTGTCTCACTTAATGGAGCCAAAGATTTTCTCAGGAAGTAGCAAAGAAACCCTCGCTGCTTTCCCAGGTCCACAGCTCCCGCCCCTTTGAGACTCTGGGGCGGATCTAGGATAGATCAGTTATCCGCTGGGCGGGGCCAGCACTCAGAGGGACAGGAATTTCCTTCTTCCTTTCCTACTTCCCCCTCAACCAAGAGTTGGGAGAGTGGGAAGAAGGCGCCAAGTGCACGCTGCTGGCGGTTGCAGCCCCCCAGAGGCCTGAGATCGACCACAGGACGGCCCTGCCTGGACCACGTAAGATTCTTGCATTATCCCCACCTTCCTGGTAGCTTGAGCGATCTCTCTGGAGCCAGGGCCTCTCCCGTCCCTGAGTGTGGGACCCTGAGCCTGGAGCCTTGGGACTTGGCGCTCACTGGGACGGACCCTCTGGCAGGTGGAGGAGACACCACGTGGGATGGCCTTGTTCATGAGTTTAGGGACACTTGAGTTTGTGCACTGGGCAGCATCCGGAAAGCCTGGTGGAAGGGCCTCGTGGGGGACCCGGAATCACTTCCCTGGTCCAGAGGAGGCTGCGGGAGGCCAGAGAGGGCTCAGGGACTCAGCACTAAGCAGGGCCCCCTATTCTCTGCCTGTGCACCGCCATTTAGGCGCGGGTGCTGTGGTGGTTTGAGCTAAGTAATCGCTAAAGTGTAGCCGCCCTGTGCAAGGCTGTGCGGGTTCCCCAAACTTAGTGCAAGAACGTTTACTTTCGGGGATGTTTCAGAGGTGAAAACATCACCAAAAACAGCTGCCTTTCTGAGTGTGCATTGGAAAGATCTCACAAAATTTCAGGGGCATTTTATTCTTTCCAGAAAGACAGGGTTTCTTTGTGTAGCCCTGGCTGCCCTGGAACTCGCTCTGTAGACCAGGCTGTCCTCCATCTAAGAAATCCTTCTACCTAAGTCTCCCAAGTGCTGGGATTAAAGACATGGACCACCGGCCAGTCACATTTTCACTGGTCTAGACTCTAGAGTTTTGTGAACTGGAGAAGATATGAAATCATGGTTATGAATATTTTACAGCACTGATTTACCAGGACCTTGCTCATGTGAGGAAAAGCACTCTGCCCTACAACCACTTGCTCCCTGGAATATTAAAGGAATAATGAAACTTAAATTTTAAAATTTTTATGACTAGATTCTTTCCTATCCCAAAGTTTATAATAATACATAATATGCCTAAGAAGAACAAGTCCTACTTAAAAAAACAGATCAAAATGCAAATTATGTACAAATGAGGGCATTGTTGGTATTTGTGGGTGTTCCTCTGTATCCTTGTATTGGTGGTTAATCATACTGAAGCATAAGCCTCCAATGCAGCATTATTTAAAACTTAAAGTTTCTGAAGAGATTGATATCATAGTCCCTACTTATTTACCACGATGAATATTATGTTCACATATAGCCACGGGCTTTTTTTTTTTTTTTTTTGCTGTGTTTTTACTCAAATGTAGGAATACTTAAGCTTCCTCCTCTAGAGTCTAGAATGATAAAGGAATGTCCTAATACACAAAACAACACAAAACAAGTTACCTCTCTGCTTAGTTTCTGCATCCCTACAAGGTTTATCAAGGTTTATCAGTGAACCAGGCATGGAACTAGGAACTTCCTGTACATAGCCATCGCTCTTTCTCAAGTTTGTGTATACTCCAAGGTGACTTGATACCTGAGAAGCTTTAGGTTCTCTTCCTCTATTATTTTTCAAACTAAGTGTCTTGTCTCCAACATCCTCCTGCTTTCATCACCCAAGGCTAAGATAAGAGGCCTCTTATAACACATTCAGCACAGCAGAATTATTTTTGAAGTTTACTTTATCTTTTAATTTTCTATGTGTGTGTGTGATAGTGTGTGTGCGTGTGTATACAAAGTGTGTATGTGTTGCATGAGGCACGTATACACAGTGGTTAGAACAATTATATCCAGTTGGTTTTCATTGTTAACCTGGTCTGAAACAGGGTCTCTCTTATTTTTACATTTTCAGCGCACACTCCAAAATGGTGGACCTCAAAATTTTGGCGTTATTCTGCTCGCTTCTTTAATTTCTATCTACCTAAACAAAGGTAGAACAACAGGGGCACTATAATTTGCAGAGGATCTAGACACAGGTTTTCAGGCGCACACAAGGAAATGTTTTTACCTGAGACACCTCTGTGATCTTACAATTCTTCTTCTATGACTGTTACAACTTTTTATATGTCGACAACAATTTTAAGTATATTTTTAAGTCAAGGAAATTACTCCGTGTTTATATCCTTATAGGAAAGATAAAGAGTGGGCTTTCAATGTCATTTGAAATTATAAGGGTCAGGATAGAATAATTAACATAATCATATGATATATATATATTGTATACACATTAAAAATAAAAAAAAATATAATATGCATGAATGCTGTATAAGATCTCATGTATTTAAATTAAATATTCTCTCAGAAGAATTGCTGTCACTGTCCCATGGAGAATCATGCCATTCTAGGCTGCATCGGGGTTGATGTGGGGAATTTCTCATGCCGTACTTCACAATGAGTAAACGGCCACATAATGACCCACTAAATATGGTGGAGCCTTCCCAGCAGCACCCACATTTCACTTCTGGAAACCATACACATACTACCAGGTATCTAGAGTGGTACACAAAAGCTTAGGGACATATGGTAGTGTGGCCACATGTCTGTCATCCATTTGGCTCACTCCCTGACATCCTCTCTAATCTCTGTCCGCCAGGCTAGGGGGCAGTCCCTATCTGTCTATGGACACTTTTTACTGTTCCATGGGTCTGGGAATCTGGAGGGAATGATGTGTGAGTATACCCGGAAAGTTGTGGGAAGTCACAGAGGAAAGACAGGGGAGGGTGTTTGCTGGAGGCATCCTGGTGTTGGTGTTAAGAGTGAGAATAACTTCCTGTCTCTTAATTATATGTTGTCTGTCCTAGGTCCACTTGAAAATCCTGACAGAGCTGAGTCTTGTGTGTGCCTAGGCCCTGCCACAGGTAGGTGGGTGTCCACAGAGGATACAGAGAGTTCCTTGCCTGACAGGGTCTTGGGGATGTTAGAGAAAGGAAAAGAGAAGTTTCCTGAGTGGTACCTGGTACTTGGGGTAGGGCAGGGTGGGGAGGTGGGAGGTTAGGGGTGGGAGGCAGAGGACTGTGCAGAGGAGAGGGATTGTGACAGAGCTGGAGGTAGGTCAGAATGGTTGCCTGCTGCTGCCTAGGAGACGGTTAAGGTGGGAGCCGGGGCCCAGGGTTTGGTGACAAGAGGGCAGGTGGGCGCAATGTTTCTTCTTTTGATGTGTCCTTGTCTCCTCCTCAGGGACCTGGTCGGCCTGCCTGTTGAGGCGAGGTTGTGGATGTCCCCGGACCCTAGTGGTCCCTGCTTCGGATGATGTAGGGCAGCATCCACCTGAATGCACATCACTACCAAGGCCAAGGTTTTGGAAGGAAGCCCTTCTCCTCTCCCATCTCAATATTAGACCATGGGACCCTGGGCCACGGGGCTCAGGCCGCCGACCCTGGAGCCCTGACCAGTGAACACAGCTGCCTGTCCTTTACCCTTGTGTCCATCCAGGAGCGGCCATCTGCCAGGTGGGAAGCCCGTACTGGGCCTAGGGTTCCATTGAGTCGGGTGGTCTCCTCCCTTGTTGTCACACCTCCCCGTGTGCTCTCGGTTCTGGGACACCACCAACCCACTGCCCTAGCAGGAACGGGGTCAGCATGGGAGGCCCCTCTTGGCTGGTCCCTTGACCTTGAAGCTTGGGTCAGCAGACCCAAGGCCATCCTGGCAGCTGTACTGGTCACCTTGTTGTGTGGAGTCATGTAGACAGCTGCTGGATCTCTGAAAGCTGCTCTGTGTGTGTGTGTGTGTGTGTGTGTGTGTGTGTGTGTGTGTTTGGGGTGAGGGCGGGGTGTGGGCAGGGATGCAGCTGTGAGAATACCCTGGTTTGGCAGCTAGGGAGTGATGCTCAGCCCCTGCTCCCCAAATCCATGAGTATGTTTCTAAGACTCCTCCCCTTTAGTCCAGATTGGCATGTGGTTTGTGTAGGATTCCCTTAGGGTCTGGTGCGGGCTCTCAAGTGCTTCTGTGCCCACATGCACACACTCCCCACTTGGCCCCCTCCATGACACCCTCCACCACCTGCCCCCTCTCCAGGTACTACATGATACCCTCAGGCAGGGCTATCATGGGATGGCACGTGCCCAAAGCCAAGTGTCTCAGGGCAGTGCAGGGCATGCAGGAACCTGTTAAGGTCGGTATCCTCCATCTGCACACCGCACCCCACCCGCTGAACACCCTGGGGTTACTAGCAGCAGCCCTAGAGTCTCATGTCAGTCCTGTCCCTTCATACTTACTTGGCCTCCATCTTGGAACTTGGCAGGAAAACTCTTTTTTTTTTTTTTTTTTTTTTCAATTTTTTTGCTTTGCGAAGGGCGGAGGGAGAGCACCCTGCACCCTTGGCCGTTGGCATTCTCGGTGCCCTGCTGCCATCACGCGGATTCAGTTTGCCGATTCCGCCAGCAAGTCCCTGTGCTTCCCTGGAAATGGAGGCGGCAGGCTAGGGAAGGACTCCCGCCTGGGTCCCCCAGGACCAAAGCGGTTCTCTTGCCCGCTCCATGAGCCAGGAGAGCTGGAGGAGGGAGCAGGGTCCAGGAGACTAGCTCCGGGCGGGCGCCACTAGGCTTGGCTTGCGGGTCACGGAAGCACAGCCTCCCGGGTCCTGTGGCCTCCATGTCTGGCCGCAGCAGAGGACCTCTCCGCAGGGGATTGTGCAGCCTGGGCTACATCATGGTCGTTTTGGGGAAATTTCCTACCCGTGTGCCGGACCGCCTGCCCTTACTGTGGTGCCCAAGTCCACCCTGGGACCCCCTAGCTTTTGTCTGAGCCTCCCTAGCGGTATCCACAGCTCACTTCCGGAGACCACACAAACTCTGTCCTGCATCTCTGGGAGGTCCTCAGGGTCTCAGGCCTGGTTGCTAGCCACCTTGGCCAAATGTCTGTCATCCATTTAACTCTCTCCCTGCCATCCCCTCTCCTCTCTGGCTGCCAGGCCTTCTCTCTGGCTTTCCTTTTGTTCCTTTTACAGGCTTTCCCCTTGAGCTGTGCTATAGGTGGAATTCAGCGACTGGGACCTGTCAGAAAAGGTTCCTTCTCCAGAACCACATCCCCAGAACCGTACAAGGGCTCTGAAAGCCCCCCACCCATCATCATCCTATGCAAGGTGGTTGTGTGTACCCAGCAAGGCAGTGTGGTGGCTCAAAGTGAATCCCAGTAGAAGCAGCTCGAACAGGATTTGGACACAGGGGTGCTCATAAACAGGCATGGCAGATCGTAGGTACCGTGGTGGCCAGGTTTCATGGTCCCTGCCTCCCCCGACAAGCCTCCTCTGTGTTATGCAGGACACACATGCAGACCACATACTCCTTCCTCTGTTCTCCTGCCTAGCTCACTCTGCCTTAAACCCAGGGAGACCTCCCAGGGTCAAAGGTCAAAAATCCCCTTGTCCTGCACTCACTCCCCTGTGCAGGCCTCATCTCAGCAGGAAGAATACTTAGAGAAGGCTCTGAAATTAACAGAAAGCTCTATCTAGAGTCCTAGAACTGCTATGCATGGAGGAGTATTTGTGAGTGTGTGTGTGTGTGTGTGTGTGTGTGTGTGTGTGTGTGTGTGTGTGTGTGTTGGGTGTTTGTATACCTGGGATTATTGTGGCCTAGTCCTGTGAGAAGCCATACGCAATGGCTGAGAGGCACAGTATGTAACAGTTATGGTGGTCAGCTCTGGGATGTAGAGGAAGGACAGGTTTGCATGCAGGGGAAGCCTTCTAGGGCTCTATCCTTCAGCTCCAGCTCAGGTGAGCACAAGGTTTGGAGTGGTGCATCGTGTGTGTGGTTGGGGGCTCAGGCCTTGCCGGGGCATGGTGGATGAGAGCATTGTGTAGGAACCATTGGAAAGGTGGTGGGACCCTCCATTGGAGTGGCCTGCCAGACAGGTCTAGGAAGTCAGGGCCTCCACCCTCACCAAGGCACCATGAAGCTCCCTTTTTATCCTAAGCAAATGTCTCCATGAGGCTTTGTAGAGAAGGAGATTTGGAAGAGCATAGACAGGCTTGTCTCCAGGTGGCAGGGAGAGTGATTTTCTTCGAGGCTCCATCATGGAAGATGTCAGCAGTGTGGAGGAGGTCCTCTGGAGACTTTCAGTGCTCATGGAAGGAAGGCTTCCTGTTGGGGAGTGCAAAGCATTTCCCAACGGAACATGGCCTAGCTACCGTGGATACCAGGGATGGGACTGTACATAGGAGCGAAGGATAGAGAAAGACAGAGATAGAGGTAGAGGTGGAGGTAGAGGAGGATAGATAAATGAGGGGGGGCGACAGGGAGAGAGAGGGGGTCGGGACAGGATGAGAGGGTGGGAGAGCACATTAGAATCTGCATGTGGGGTGTTGGGTGTTTTCGTGATTGTTGGTGTTTTTTTCATGCAGGCTGGTGGGCAGACCCACTCTGTCTGTGGACACTTTTTTCTGTTGCATGGGTCTGGGCCCCTGGAGGGAATTGTGTGTAGGACACCTGCAATGTTGTGGGATATCCATAAGGACAGACAGGGTGGGTGTGTGCTGCAGGCATCCTGGTGATGGTGTTAAGAGTGAGAATTACTTCTTGTCCCTTAATTCTATGTTGCTGTCCTCGGGCCAGTTGAATCTCCTGAGAGAGCTGAGTCTTGTGTGTGCCTAGGCCCTGCCACAGGTAGGTGGGTGTCCACAGAGGATACAGAGAGTTCTGTGCCTGACAGGGTCTCGGGGAAGTTAGAGAACGGAAAAAGAGAATTTTCCTGAGTGGTGCCTGGTAGTTGGTGTAGGGTAGGGTTGGGAGGTGGGAGGTTAGGGGTGGGAGGCAGAGGACTGTGCAGAGGAGAGGGATTGTGACAGAGCTGGAGGTAGGTCAGAATGGTTGCCTGGTGCTGCCTAGGAGACGGTTATGGTGGGGGCCGGGGCCCGGGGTTTGGTGACAGGAGGGCAGGTGGGTGCAATGTTTCTTCTTTTGATGTGTCCTCGTCTCCTCCTCAGGGACCTGGTCGGCCTGCCTGTTGAGGCGAGGTTGTGGATGTCCCCGGACCCTAGTGGTCCCTGCTTCGGATGATGTAGGGCAGCATCCACCTGAACGCACATCACTACCAAGGCCAAGGTTTTGGAAGGAAGCCCTTCTCCTCTCCCATCTCAATATTAGACCATGGGACCATGGGCCACGGGGCTCAGGCCGCCGACCCTGGAGCCCTGACCAGTGAACACAGCTGCCTGTCCTTTACCCTTGTGTCCATCCAGGAGCGGCCTTCTGCCAGGTGGGAAGCCCGTGCTGGGCCTAGGGTCCCATTGAGTCGGGTAGTCTCCTCCCTTGTTTTCACACCTCCGCGTGTGCTCTCACTTCTGGGACACCACCAACCCACTGCCCTAGCAGGACCGGGGTCAGCATGGGAGGCCACATGGATACCCAGGGTCTGTGGCACAACCTGTGGACTTGTTGTCCAAGCCTCCAGAGCCATGCTGATCTGAGTAGCCTATGCTACCACCTAGGGCCTAGGTGTCATCCGGGCCCAAGTAGCTGCTGAGGGCCATGTCTAGGTCGGTGTCCCTATGGCAGCCATGGTCTGAGTTGATAGCCAGGGCTCCTGTTACCACCAAGGGGCATGAAGGTGCCTGAGGTCTGGTCTGCCACCTGAGAACATGCTGGTGTCCCACAGCCATGCTGCTGCTCTGGTTGGCCTGTGCCATCACCTGGGGCCGTGGTATGTCAGGGCCCAAGCTTCAGTCTAGGGCCATCTCTGGGTCCATGGCCCCACAGCAGCCAGGGTTTAAGTTGATGTCCATGGCATCTGTTGCAACCAAGGGACATGCAGATGCCCAGGGTCTGGTTAGCCACCTCAGACTATGCTGGTGTCTGAGAGTCATGCTACTTGATGCTGGGGCTGAACTGCTCTGAGTGACATGAGCTGAGACACGGGACATGGTAACATCTGGGCCTGAGATGCTCTGGAGGACCACCTCTGGATCTGTGGTCCTGCTGTAACTGGAGTCTGTGTTGACATCTGTGGGCCATGTAACCATAGGAGGTCATGTATGATGAAATCCAAGGGCAGTGCTGAGCCACACCTGCCCTGTGTTGGCCCTAGGAAAGCTGGCCCTGCTCCTCACTAGACACTGCAGCTAGAGTGCTGACCTTGACCCTCACAGGAGAGCTGGCCCCAATGACTCTGGCATGGAGAGCTGGCCCCCTATACTTAGGAGAGTTGGCCCCACCTCTCAACACAGGCATGAGAGAGATGACCCTGATGCCATGGGCATAGGAGAGCTGGTTCCACCTCCACCTGAGGGGGCAGCCTTAGTATCAAGGACTGACCAACTCAACTACCACCCAGGTCCATATCCAGGGCCTTGGATTGGCCCACCCTAACATCAACCCCATCTAGGACCTGCTGGCGCATGTGAAGGGACTGGTTCTGCAGATCTCCATGACTAGGGGCAGCCATGGGATATCAGAGAGGAGTTTCTGTGAGGATTCAGTGATGATGGTGTACCACAAACCAGAGTCCTTGAACCAGACCAATGACTCATTGCAATTTTCATTTTCGGATGGGGCTGATTGAACAAAGGGTATCCTGCAGGACACACCGGGGATCCCAATGCCACTCAAATGAATGAAGAGATGTTGAAGAGGCGGGAGAGACAAAAGAGAGAAGTGGGCTTTTTTGTTTGCGTGGTTGGTTGGTTAGTTGGTTGGTTGGTTTAGTTTGGTATTTTTTTTATTTTATTATAGTGGAGGGCTGCTGCAAGGGTGAAGGGAGGATAGGGAGGACTGGGAAAGGAGCAGATTTGGGGTGCATGATGTGAAATTCACAAAGAATAAAGATTGTGTGTGTGTGTGTGTGTGTGTGTGTGTGTGTGTGTGTGTGTGTGTGTGTGTGAAAACATACAGGCTTCAAAGGAATAATAGTAAAATCAACTATAGCCAAGCTGTTGTGGTACATGCCTTTAATCCCAGCCCTCGGGAGGCAGAGGCAGGCAGATCTCTGTGAGTTCGAGGCCAGCCTGGTACAGTGTGAGTTCCAAGACTGACAGGGCTACACAAAGAAACCCTGTCTTGAAAAACCCAAAATAAATTCATATATACATACATACATACATACATACATACATACATACATACATATATACAGACTGAAAATAGAAACTAACATGTTAGAATACAACAAAATATTGTGCGGCCTGGGTCACTCAGAGATTCACTGTGACCATGAATAAATTTAAATTAGGACAGGCTTTATTAAATAAGAACTGGTGATCCCATCCTGCCTTGGACTTCCCTTCTGGAGCACAGGTGAGTGCCCTGGTTTGGCCTGGACCCCATCGCTGGGCACCAGCCACTCTGGGGAAGACCTGCCCAACTTGGCCCCAGGTTCTGGCCACTGGGCAGGTTCCCTTCTAGCCCCACCGTGAAGGATCCCCTTCTCCAAGACCCCCGGCAGAACCTGCAATCTCCACGCCTTGTCCCCACGCCTACCCACCTGAGACCCCAGGCACTTCCTTAGATTTAGAGGCCGGCCCCCAGCTCCCATCCTGCCCTGGACTTCCCTTCTGGGAGAGAGAGAGAGAGAGAGAGAGAGAGAGAGAGAGAGAGAGAGAAGCTCCCATCCTGCCCCGTACTTCCCTTCTGGACAAGAGCGCCCATCCTACCCTGGACTTCCCTTCTGGACAAGAGCACCTAATCTGCCCCGGACTTCCTGTCTGGACAAGAGCTCCCATCCTACCCCAGACTTCCCTTCTGGACAAGAGCTCCCATCCTGCCCCGGAGTTCCCATTTGGACAAGAGAGCTCCCATCTGGACAAGAGAGAGAGAGACTTCCTGAATCTGTCAGCTCTGTCTGAACCAAGTGTGCTGATAAGACCAAAATCGAACCACAAGGAGATGGGCAGACATCAAGGCAGAAATACATACAACAAAATGAATAGCAATACAGCATCACCAGAACCTAGCCCTCCTCCAACACCTAGACCTGAACATCAGAAATTGGAAGAAGCAGAAGAAAACAGCCTTATGAATGACATCATGAAGAAGGTAGAGGCTTGTGTAGAGGAAAAGACAAAAAAATGGGAAGAACGCTGTAAACAACTAGAGGAAAGGGCAAACAAATTAGAAGAAATCAATAAAGTCCTGGAAGAAAACAATAAAGTACTGAAAGAAAATCAAGAAAAAGCAATGAAACAAATGAAGGAAACAGTCCAAGACCTGAAAAGGGAAATAGAAAAAATGAAGAAGACACAAACAGAGGGAATGCTGGAAATAGAAAATCTGAGTAAAAGATCAGAAACTTCAGATGCAAGTATAACCAACAGAATGCAAGAGATGGAAGAGAGGATCTCTGGCATTGAAGATACAGTAAAAGAAATAGATTCATCAGTCAAAGAAAACACTAAAGCCAACAAAGTCATGAACCAAAATGTCCAAGAAATTTGGGACACCATGAAAAGACCAAACCTACGAATAATAGGGGTCGAAGAAGGAGAAGAATACCAACTCAAGGGCACAGAAAATATATTCAACAAGATCATAGAAGAAAACTTTCCCAACTTAAAGAAGGAAATGCCTGTGAAGATACAAGAAGCCTATAGAACATCAAACAGACTGGACCCCCAAAAAAGTCACCTCGCCAAATAATAATTAAACAACTAGACGTACAGAATAAAGAAAGAATATTAAGAGCAGCAAAGGAAAAAGGCCAAGTGACTTATAAAGGCAAACCCATCAGAATAACACCCGATTTCTCAATGGAGAGTTTGAAAGCCAGAAGGACCTGGACAGATGTAATGCAGACACTAAGAGACCATGGATGCCAGCCTAGACTAATATAACCAGCAAAACTTTTAATCATCATAGATGGAGCGAACAAGACATTCCAAGACAAAGCCAGATTTAAACAATACTTATCCACAAACCCAGCCCTACAGAAAGCACTAGAAGGAAAATTCCAACCTAAGGAAGTCAGATGCACCCTCGAAAATACAGGCAATAGAAAAAGCCACAGTAGTAAACACCAACAAAGAGAACTACACACAAATCACCACCAAAAAATAACAGGAATGAACAATCACTGGTCATTAATATCCCTCAATATCAATGGAATTAATTCACCTGTAAAAAGACATAGGCTTACAGAATGGATACGAAAGGAGGACCCATCTTTCTGCTGCATACAAGAAACACATCTCAAATTCAAAGATAGACACTACCTAAAAATAAAAGGCTGGGGAAAGACTTTCCAATCAAACGGTCTTAAGAAACAAGTGGGTGTAGCCATCCTGATATCCAGCAAAATAGACTTCAAACTAAAATCAATCAAAAGAGATCAAGAAGGGCATTACATACTCATCAGAGTAAAGATCCACCAACATGAAGTCTCAATTCTGAACATTTATGCCCCAAACACAAGGGCACCCACATATGTAAAAGAAACATTACTAAAGCTTAAATCACATATAAAACCCCACACATAAATAGTGGGAGACCTCAACACCCCACTTTCACCACTGGACAGATCTCCCAAATCGAAACTTAACAGAGAAATAAAGGACTTACCTGATGTCATGACTCAAATGGACTTAATCGATATCTACATAACATTCCATCCTAACAAAAAAGAATATACCTTCCTCTCAGCATCCCATGGAACCTTCTCTAAAATCGACCACATACTTGGCCACAAAACAAATCTCAACAGATACAAAACAATTGGAATAACCTCCTGTGTTCTATCAGACCACCATGGTCTAAAGTTGGATTTCAACAACAACAAAAACTACAGAAAACCTACAATCTCATGGAAACTGAATAATACTCAACTGAATCACCAATGGGTTAAGGAAGAAATGAAGAAATTAAAGACTTCCTAGAGATCAACGAAATAGAAGACACCACATATCCAAACCTATGGGACACTATGAAAGCAGTACTAAGAGGGAAATTCATAGCACTAAATGCCCACATAAATAAGTTAGAGAAATCTCACACTAGTGACTTAACAGCACACCTGAAAGCTCGGGAAAAAGAGGAAGCAAAGTCTCCCAGGAAAAATAGACGCCAGGAAATTATCAAAGTGAGAGCTGAAATCAATACAATAGAAACAAAGAGAACAATACAAAAAATTAATGAAACAAAGAGTTGGTTCTTTGAGAAAATCAACAAGATAGACAAGCCCTTATCCAAACCAACCAAAAGACACAGAGAGAGCATCCAAATCAACAAAATCAGAAATGAAAAGGGGGACATAACAACAGACATTGAGGAAATCCAGAGAATCATCAGATCATATTTCAAAAACCTCTACTCCACAAAACTGGAAAACCAAAAAGAAATAGATAACTTTCTGGATAGGTACCACATACCTAAGTTAAATCAAGACCAGATAAACTATTTAAATAGTCCAATAACCCCTAACAAAATAGAAACAGTCATTAAAAGTCTCCCAACCAAAAAAAGCCCAGGTCCAAATGGTTTCAGCGCAGAATTCTACCAGATCTTCAAAGAAGAGTTAATACCAATACCCTCTAAATTGTTCCACACAACAGAAACAGAAGGAGCATTACCAAACTCCTTCTATGAGGCTACAATTACCCTGATTCCTAAACCAAACAAGGATACAACAAAGAAAGAGAACTACAGACCGATCTCCCTCATGAACACTGATGCAAAAATACTCAATAAAATACTGGCAAACAGACTCCAAGAACACATCAAAACAATTATCCACCATGATCAAGTAGGCTTCATTCCAGGGATGCAAGGGTGGTTCAACATAGGAAAGTCCGTCAATGTAATACCCCATATAAACAAACTCAAAGAAAAAAACCACATGATCATCTCACTAGATGCAGACAAGGCATTTGACAAAATCCAACACACTTTCATGATAAAGGTCTTGGAGCGATCAGGAACACAGGGAACATACCTAAACATAATAAAGGTAATTTACAGCAAGCCAACAGCCAACATCAAATTAAATGGAGAGAAACTCAAAGCAATTCCACTAAAATCAGGAAGGAGGCAAGGCTGTTCGCTCTCCCCATACTTAATCAATATAGTACTTGAAGTTCTAGCCAGAGCAATAAGAAAACAGAAGGAGATTAAGGGGATACAAATTGGAAAGGAAGAAGTCAAGTTTTCCCTATTTGCAGATGACACGATAGTATACTTGAGCAACCCCAAAGATTCCACCAAGGAACTGATACAGCTTATAAACACCTTCAGCAGCATAGCAGGATACAAGATCAACTCCAAAAAATCAGTAGCCCTCCTATATACAATGGACAAAGATGCTGAGAAGGAAATCAAAGATACATCACCCTTTACAATAGCCACAAACGACACAAAATACCTTGGGGTAACACTAACCAAGCAAGTGAAGGACCTATATGACAAGAACTTTAAGTCCTTGAAAAAAGAAATTGAAGAAGATCTCAGAAAATGGAAAGATCTCCCATGCTCATGGATAGGCAGGACTAACATAGTAAAAATGGCAATCTTACCAAAAGCAATCTACAGATTCAATGCAATCCCCATCAAAATACCAACACAATCTTCACAGACCTGGAAAGAATAATACTCAACTTCATATGGAAAAACAAAAAACCCAGGATAGCCAAAAGAATCCTGTACAATAACACAACCTCTGGAGGCATCATGATCCCTGACTTCAAGCTCTACAATAGAGCTACACTAAAAAAAAAAACAGCTTGGTACTGGCATGAAAACCGACATGTGGACCAATGGTATCGAATTGAAGAACCTGACATTAATCTGCACACCTATGAACATATAATTTTTGACAAAGAAGCCAAAAGTGCACAATGGAAAAAAGAAAGCATCTTCAACAAATGGTGCTGGTATAACTGGATATCAACATGTAGAAGTCTGCAAATAGATCCATATTTATCACCGTGCACAAAACTTACGTCCAAGTGGATCAAGGACCTCAACATAAATCATGCAACACTGAATCTGCTAGAAGAGAAAATAGGAAGTAGTCTGGAACGCATTGGCATAGGAGATCACTTCCTAAATATAACACCAGTAGCACAGACACTGAGGGAAACAATCTATCAATGGGACCTCTTGAAACTGAGAAGCTTTTATAGAGCAAAGGATACGGTCAACAAGGCAAAGCGACTGCCTACAGAATGAGAAAAGATCTTCACCAACCCCACATCTGACAGAGGACTGTTATCCATAATATATAAGGAACTCAAGAATTTAGACATCAAAATGCCCAACAGTCCAATTAAGAAATGGGCTATAGAACTAAAGAGAGAATTCTCAACAGAGGAAACTCAAATGGCTGAAAGACATTTAAGGAATTGCTCAACATCCCTAATCATCAGAGAAATGCAAATCAAAACAACTCTGAGATACCACCTTACGCCTGTCAGAATGTCTAAGATCAAAAACACTGAAGACATCTTATGCTGGAGAGGATGTGGAGCTAGGGGAACTCTCCTCCACTGCTGGTGGGAATGCAAGCTTGTACAACCACTTTGGAAATCAATATGGCACTTTCTTAGAAAATTGGGAATCCATCTCCCCCAAGATCCAGCTATACCACTCTTGGGCATATACCCAAGGAATGCTCAACCACACCACAAGAGCACTTGTTCAGCTATGTTCATATCAGCATTGTTTGTAATAGCCAGAACATGGAAACAACCTAGATGCCCTTCAACTGAAGAATGGATAAATAAAATGTGGTACATATACACAATGGAATACTACTCAGCAGAGAAAAACAATGACATCATGAGGTTTGCAGACAAATGGATGACTCTAGAAAAAATCATCCTGAGTGAGGTAACCCAGACTCAGAAAGACAAACATGGTATGTACTCACTCATAGCAGGATACTAGATGTGGAACAAGGATGACTGGACTGCTACTCACATCACCAGGGAGACTACCTGGAAAACCGTACCCCAAGAAAGACACGGGGATCACCCAATGACGAAGAAATGGAAGAGATCTACATGAACAGCCTGGACATGAGTGGGGGTAATGAAGGGCGAGGGTCGAGGGAAAAGAGTTTGGGGAATGGGACATCCCAGCTGGATCAACCCAGTACACAAAGTTATTCTATGTTTGTCACGTGGTGCCAGAGTATACATGCATCCATACCCACACAAAATAATACTGACAATGCATTTTTCTTAAATTACATTTAAAAATTGAACCCAGGCATCATGGTGCAAATCTGTAATCACAAAACCCAGGGGGCAAAGGGAGGGGAATCAGGAACTCAGGGTCTGGCTCTACTACATACTGAATTCAAAGACAGTCTGAGCACTTGAGAGCCCGCACCAGACCCTAAGGGAATCCTACACAAACCACATGCCAATCTGGACTATAGGGAAGGAGCCTCAGAAACATACTCATGGATTTGGGGAGCAGAGGCTGAGCATCACTCCCTAGCTGCCAAACCAGGGTATTCTCACAGCTGCATCCCTGCCCTCGCCCCGCCCTCACCCCAAACACACACACACACACACACACACACACACACACACACACACACACACACACACAAACACACACACACACACACACACACACAGCAGCTTTCAGAGATCCAGCAGCTGTCTACATGACTCCACCCACCAGGGTGACCAGTACAGCTGCCAGGATGGCCTTGGGTCTGCTGACCCAAGCTTCAAGGTCAAGGGACCAGCCAAGAGGGGCCTCCCATGCTGACCCCGGTCCTGCTAGGGCAGTGGTTTGGTGGTGTCCCAGAACCGAGAGCACACGCAGAGGTGTGACAACAAGGGAGGAGACCACCCGACTCAATGGGACCCTAGGCCCAGCACGGGCTTCCCACCTGACAGAAGGCCGCTCCTGGATGGACACAAGGGTAAAGGACAGGCAGCTGTGTTCACTGGTCAGGGCTCCAGGGTCGGCGGCCTGAGTCCCGTGGCCCATGGTCCCATGGTCTAATATTGAGATGGGAGAGGAGAAGGGCTTCCTTCCAAAACCTTGGCCTTGGTAGTGATGTGCGTTCAGGTGGATGCTGCCCTACATCATCCGAAGCAGGGAGCACTAGGGTCCGGGGACATCCACAACCTCCCCTCAACAGGCAGGCCGACCAGGTCCCTGAGGAGGAGACAAGGACACATCAAAAGAAGAAACATTGCACCCACCTGCCCTCTTGTCACCAAACCCTGGGCCCCGGCCCCCACCTTAACCGTCTCCTAGGCAGCACCAGGCAACCATTCTGACCTACCTCCAGCTCTGTCACAATCCCTCTCCTCTGCACAGTCCTCTGCCTCCCACCCCTAACCTCCCACCTCCCCACCCTACCCTACACCAACTACCAGGCCCCACACAGGAAACTTCTCTTTCCCTTCTCTAACTTCCCCAAGACTCTGTCAGGCACGGAACTCTCTGTATCCTCTGTGGACACCCACCTACCTGTGGCAGGGCCTAGGCACACACAGGACTCAGCTCTCTCAAGAGATTCAACTGGCCCAAGGACAGCAACATAGAATTAAGGGACAAGAAGTAATTCTCACTCTTAACACCAACACTAGGATGCCTGCAGCACACACCCACCCTGTCTGTCCTTATGGATATCCCACAACATTGCAGGTGTCCTACACACAATTCCCTCCAGGGGCCCAGACCCATGGAAAGAAAAAACTGTCCACAGACAGAGTGGGTGTGCCCACCAGCCTGCTTGAAAAAAACACCAACAATCACGAAAACACCCAACACCACACATGCAGATTCTAATGTGCTCTCCCACCTTCTCTCATCCTGTCCCGCCCCCCTCTCTCTCCCTGTCGCCCCCCCTCATTTATCTATCCTCCTCTACCTCCACCTCTACCTCTATCTCTGTCTTTCTCTATCCTTCGTTCCTATGTACCGTCCCATCCCTGGTATCCACGGTAGCTAGGCCATGTTCCGTTGGGAAATGCTTTGCACTCCCCAACAGGAAGCCTTCCTTCCATGAGCACTGAAAGTCTCCAGAGGACCTCCTCCACACTGCTGACATCTTCCATCATGGAGCCTCGAAGAAAATCACTCTCCCTGCCACCTGGAGACAAGCCTGTCTATGCTCTTCCAAATCTTTTTCTCTACAAAGCCTCATGGAGACATTTGCTTAGGATAAAAAGGGAGCTTCCTGGTGCCTTGGTGAGGGTGGAGGCCCTGACTTCCTAGACCTGCCTGGCAGGCCACTCCAATGGAGGGTCCCACCACCTTTCCAATGGTTCCTACACAATGCTCTCATCCACCATGCCCCGGCAAGGCCTGAGCCCCAAACCACACACACGATGCACCACTCCAAACCTTGTGTTCACCTGAGCTGGAGCTGAAGGATAGAGCCCTAGAAGGCTTCCCCTGCATGCAAACCTGTCCTTCCTCTACATCCCAGAGCTGACCACCATTACTGTTACATACTGTGCCTCTCAGCCATTGCTTATGGCTTCTCACAGGACTAGGCCACAATAATCCCAGGTATACAAACACCCAACACACACACACACACACACACACACACACACACACACACACACACTCACAAACACTCCTCCATGCGTAGCAGTTCTAGGACTCTAGATAGAGCTTTCTGTTAATTGCAGAGCCTTCTCTAAGTATTCTTCCTGCTGAGATGATGCCTGGACAGGGGAGTGAGTGCAGGACAAGGGGATTTTTGACCTTTGACCCTGGGAGGTCTCCCTGGGTTTAAGGCAGAGTGAGCTAGGCAGGAGAACACAGGAAGGAGTATGCGGTCTGCATGTGTGTCCTGCATAACACAGAGGAGGCTTGTCGGGGAAGGCAGGGACCATGAAACCTGGCCACCATGGTACCTACGTTCTGCCATGCCTGTTTATGAGCACCCCTGTGTCCAAATCCTGTTCTAGCTGCTTCTACTGGGATTCACTTTGAGCCACCACACTGCCTTGCTGGGTACACACAACCACCTTGCATAGGATGATGATGGGTGGGGGGCTTTCAGAGCCCTTGTAGGGTTCTGGGGATGTGGTTCTGGAGAAGGAACCTTTTCTGACAGGTCCCAGTCTCTGAATTCCACCTATAGCACAGCTCAAGGGGAAAGCCTGTAAAAGGAACAAAAGGAAAGCCAGAGAGAAGGCCTGGCAGCCAGAGAGGAGAGGGGATGGCAGGGAGAGAGTTAAATGGATGACAGACATTTGGCCAAGGTAGCTAGCAACCAGGCCTGAGACCCTGAGTACCTCCCAGAGATGCAGGACAGAGTTTGTGTGGTCTCCGGAAGTGAGCTGTGGATACCGCTAGGGAGGCTCAGACAAAAGCTAGGGGGTCCCAGGGTGGACTTGGGCACCACAGTAAGGGCAGGCGGTCCGGCACACGGGTAGGAAATCTCCCCAAAACGACCATGTTGCAGCCCAGGCTGCACAATCCCCTGCGGAGAGGTCCTCTGCTGCAGCCAGACATGGCGGCCACAGGACCCGGGAGGCTGTGCTTCCGTGACCCGCAAGCCAAGCCTCCTGGCAGCCGCCCGGAGCTAGTCTCCTGGACCCTGCTTCCTCCTCCAGCTCTCCTGGCTCATGGAGTGGAAAGAGAACCGCTTTGGTCCTGGGGGACCCAGGCGGAAGCCCTTCCCTAGTGGGCCGCCTCCATTTCCAGGGAAGCACAGGGACTTGCTGGCGGAATCAGCAAACTGAATCCGCGTGATGGCAGCAGTGCACCGAGAATGCCAACGGCCAAGGGTACAGGGTGCTCTCCCTCCGCCCTTCGCAAAGCAAAAAAATTAAAAAAAAAAAAGAGTTCTCCTGCCAAGTTCCAACGTGGAGGACAACCCTGTAGGAAGGGACTGGACACACATGAGGCTCTAGGGATGCTGCTAGGGATCCCAGGGTGTTCAGCGGGTGGGGTGCGGTGGGCACATGAAGGATACCGACCTTAACACTTCCTCCATGCCCTGCACTGCCCTGAGACACTTGGCTTTGGGCACATGCCAGCCCATGATGGCCCGCCTGAGGGTATCATGTAGTACCTGGAGAGGGGGCGGGTGGTGGAGCGTGTCACAGAGGGGGCCAAGTGGGGAGTGTGTGCATGTGGGCGCAGAAGCACTTGAGAGCCCGCACCAGACCCTAAGGGAATCCTACACAAACCACATGCCAATCTGGACTATAGGGAAGGAGCCTCAGAAACATACTCATGGATTTGGGGACCAGAGGCTGAGCATCACTCCCTAGCTGCCAAACCAGGGTATTCTCACAGCTGCATCCCTGCCCTCGCCCCGCCCTCACCAAAAACACACACACACACACACACACACACACACACACACACACACACACACACACACACACACATACACAGCAGCTATGAGAGATCCAGCAGCTGTCTACATGACTCCACTCACCAGGGTGACCAGTACAGCTGCCAGGATGGCCTTGGGTCTGCTGACCCAAGCTTAAAGGTCAAGGGACCAGCCAAGAGGGGCCTTCCATGCTGATCCCGGTCCTGCTAGGGCAGTGGGTTGGTGGTGTCCCAGAACCGAGAGCACACGTGGAGGTGTGAAAACAGGGAAGGAGACCACCCGACTCAATGGGGCCCTAGGCCCAGCACGGGCTTCCCACCTGGCAGAAGGCCGCTCCTGGATGGACACAAGGGTAAAGGACAGGCAGCTGTGTTCACTGGTCAGGGCTCCAGGGTTGGCGGCCTGAGCCCCGTGGCCCATGGTCCCATGGTCTAATATTGAGATGGGAGAGGAGAAGGGCTTCCTTCCAAAACCTTGGCCTCCGTGGTGAAGTGCATTCAGATGGATCTGCCCTACATCATCCGAAGCAGGGACCACTAGGGTCCGGGGACATCCACAACCTCGCCTCAACAGGCAGGCCGACCAGGTCCCTGAGGAGGAGACAAGGACACATCAAAAGAAGAAACATTGCACCCACCTGCCCTCTTGTCACCAAACCCTGGGCCCCGGCCCCCACCTTAACCGTCTCCTAGGCAGCACCAGGCAACCATTCTGACCTACCTCCAGCTCTGTCACAATCCCTCTCCTCTGCACAGTCCTCTGCCTCCCACCCCTAACCTCCCACCTCCCCACCCTACCCTACACCAACTACCAGGCCCCACTCAGGAAACTTCTCTTTCCCTTCTCTAACTTCCCCAAGACCCTGTCAGGCACGGAACTCTCTGTATCCTCTATGGACACCTACCTACCTGTGGCAGGGCCTAGGCACACACAGGACTCAGCTCTCTCAAGAGATTCAACTGGCCCGAGGACAGCAAATTAGAATTAAGGGACAAGAAGTAATTCTCACTCTTAACACCAACACCAGGATGCCTGCAGCACACACCCACCCTGTCTGTCCTTATGGATATCCCACAACATTGCAGGTGTCCTACACACAATTCCCTCCAGGGGCCCAGACCCATGCAACAGAAAAAAGTGTCCACAGACAGAGTGGGTCTGCCCACCAGCCTGCATGAAAAAAACACCAACAATCACGAAAACACCCAACACCCCACATGCAGATTCTAATGTGCTCTCCCACCCTCTCTCATCCTGTCCCGCCCCCCCCTCTCTCCCTGTCGCCCCCCCCCTCATTTATCTATCCTCCTCTACCTCCACCTCTACCTCTATCTCTGTCTTTCTCTATCCTTCGCTCCTATGTACAGTCCTATCACTGGTATCCACAGTATCTAGGCCATGTTCAGTTGGGAAATGCTTTGCACTCCCCAACAGGAAGCCTTCTTTCAATGAGCACTGAAAGTCTCCAGAGGACCTCCTCCACACTGCTGACATCTTCCATCATGGAGCCTCGAAGAAAATCACTCTCCCTGCCACCTGGAGACAAGCCTGTCTATGCTCTTCCAAATCTCCTTCTCTACAAAGCCTCATGGAGACATTTGCTTAGGGTAAAAAAGGAGCTTCCTGGTGCCTTGGTGAGGGTGGAGGCCCTGACTTCCTAGACTTGCCTGGCAGGCCACTCCAATGGAGGGTCCCACCACCTTTCCAATGGTTCCTACACAATGCTCTCATCCACCATGCCCCGGCAAGGCCTGAGCCCCAAACCACACACACGATGCACCACTCCAAACCTTGTGCTCACCTGAGCTGAAGCTGAAGGAAAGAGCCCTAGAAGGCTTCCCCTGCATGCAAACCTGTCTTTCCTCTACATCCCAGAGCTGACCACCATTACTGTTACATACTGTGCCTCTCAGCCATTGCTTATGGCTTCTCACAGGACTAGGCCACAATAATCCCAGGTATACAAACACCCAACACACACACACACACACACACACACACACACACACACACACACACACACACTCACAAACACTCCTCCATGCGTAGCAGTTCTAGGACTCTAGATAGAGCTTTCTGTTAATTTCAGAGCCTTCTTTAAGTATTCTTCCTGCTGAGGTGATGCCTGGACAGGGGAGTGCAGGACAAGGGGATTTTGGATCTTTGACCCTGGGAGTTCTTCCTATGTTTAATGCAAAGGGAGCTAGGCAGGTGAACACAGGAAGGAATATTTGGCCTTCATGGGTGTCCTTCTTGAAACAGAGGAGGCTTGTCAGGGGAGGCAGGGGCCTTGAAACCTGGCCACCATTGTACCTAAATTCTGCCTGGCCTGTTTGTGAGCACCCTTGAGTCCAAACTCTGCTCTAGCTGCTTCTACTGGGATTCACTTTGAACCACCACACTGCCTTACTGGGTACGCACAACCAGCTTGCATAGGATGATGATGATGTGAGGGGGGCGTTCAGACTTTTTTTAGTGTTCTGGGGATGTGGCTGTGGAGCAGGAAATTTTACGGACAGCTCCGAATTCTTGAATTCCTCCTGTAGCACAGTTCAAGGGGGAAAGCCTTGTAAAAGAAACAAAAGGCAAGCTAGAGAGAAGGCCTGGCAGACAGAGATTAGAGAGGATGTCAGGGAGTGAGCCAAATGGATGACAGACATGTGGCCACACTGACCATATGTCCCTAAGCTTTTGTGTACCACTCTAGATACCTGGTAGTATGTGTATGGTTTCCAGAAGTGAAATGTGGGTGCTTTTGGGAAGGCTCCACCATATTTAGTGGGTCATTATGTGGCCCTTTACTCATTGTGAAGTAGGGCATGAGAAATTCCCCACATCAACCCAGATGCAGCCTAGAATGCCGTGATTCTCCATGGGACAGTGACAGCAATTCTTCTCAGAGAATATTTAATTTAAATACATGAGATCTTATACAGCATTCATGCATATTATATATTTTTTTATTTTTAATGTGTATACAATATATATCATATGATTATGTTAATTATTCTATCCTGACCCTTATAGTTGCAAATGACATTGAAAGCCCACTCTTTATCTTTCCTATAAGGATATAAACATGGAGTAATTTCCTTGACTTAAAAATATACTTAAAATTGTTGTCGACATATAAAAAGTTGTAACAGTCATAGAAGAAGAATTGTATGATCACAGAGGTGTCTCAGGTAAAAACATTTCCTTGTGTGCGCCTGAAAACCTGTGTCTAGATCCTCTGCAAATTATAGTGCCCCTGTTGTTCTACCTTTGTTTAGGTAGATAGAAATTAAAGAAGCGAGCAGAATAACGCCAAAAATTTTAGGTCCACCATTTTGGAGTGTGCGCTGAAAGTGCAAAAATAAGAGAGACCCTGTTTCAGACAAGGTTAACAATGAAAACCAACTGGATATAATTGTTCTAACCACTGTGTATACGTGCCTCATGCACCACATACACACTTTGTATACACACACACACTTTGTATACACACACATATACACACACTTTGTATACACATACACACATAGAAAATTGAAAGATAAAGTAAACTTCAAAAATAATTCTGCCTTGCTGAATGTGTTATAAGAGGTCTTTTATCTTAGCCTTGGGTGATGAAAGCAGGAGTATGTTGGAGACAAGACACTTAGTTTGAAAAATAATAGAGGAAGAGAGCCTAAAGCTTCTCAGGTATCAAGTCACCTTGGAGTATACACAAACTTGAGAAAGAGCGATGGCTATGTACAGGAAGTTCCTAGTTCCATGCCTGGTTCACTGATAAACCTTGATAAACCTTGTAGGGATGCAGAAACTAAGCAGAGAGGTAACTTGTTTTGTGTTGTTTTGTGTATTAGGACATTCCTTTATCATTCTAGACTCTAGAGGAGGAAGCTTAAGTATTCCTACATTTGAGTAAAAACACAGCAAAAAAAAAAAAAAGCCCTTGGCTATATGTGAACATAATATTCATCGTGGTAAATAAGTAGGAACTATGATATCAATCTCTTCAGAAACTTTAAGTTTTAAATCATGCTGCATTGGAGGTTTATGCTTCAGTATGATTAACAACCAATACAAGGATACAGAGGAACACCCACAAATACCAACAATGCCCTCATTTGTAAATAATTTGCATTTTGACCTGTTTTTTTAAATAGGACTTGCTCTTCTTAGGCATATTACGTATTATTATAGACTTTGGTATCAGAAAGAAGTTTTTCTTAAAAATTTTAAAATTTAAGTTTCATTATTCCTTTAATATTCCAGGGAGCAAGTGGTTGTAAGGCAGAGTGCTTTTCCTCACATGAGCAAGGTCCTGGTAAATCAGTGCTGTAAAATATTCATAACCATGATTTCATATCTTCTCCAGTTCACAAAACTCTAGAGTCTAGACCAGTGAAAATGTGACTGGCCGGTGGTGCATGTCTTTAATCCGAGCATTTGGGAGACTTAGGTAGAAGGATCTCTTAGTTGGAGGACAGCCTGGTCTACAGAGCGAGTTTCAGGGCAGCCAGGGCTAAACAAAGAAACCTTGTCTTTCTGGGGAAAAAAAAAAATGCCCCTGAAATTTTGTGAGAACTTGCCAATGAACACGTAGAATGGCAGCTGTTTTTGGTGATTTTTCCCCTCTGAAACATCCCCGAAAGTAAACGTTCTTGCACTAAGTTTGGGGAACCAGCACAGCCTTGCACGGGGCGGCTACACTTTAGCGATTACTTAGCTCAAACCACCACAGCACCCGCGCCTAAATGGCGGTGCACAGGCAGAGAGTAGGGGGCCCTGCTTAGTGCTAAGTCCCTGAGCCCTCTCTGGCCTCCCGCAGCCTCCTCTGGACCAGGGAAGTGATTCAGGGTCCCCCACGAGGCCCTTCCACCAGGCTTTCCGGATGCTGCCCAGTGCACAAACTCAAGTGTCCCTAAACTCATGAACAAGGCCATCCCACGTGGTGTCTCCTCCACCTGCCAGAGGGTCCGTCCCAGTGTGCACCAAGTCCCAAGGCTCCAGGCTCAGGGTCACTCACTCAGGGACAGGAGAGGCCCTGGCTCCAGAGAGATCGCTCAAGCTACCAGGAAGGTGGGGATAATGCAAGAATCTTACGTGGTCCAGGCAGGGCCGTCCTGTGGTCGGATCTCAGGCCTCTGGGGGGCTGCAACCGCCAGCAGCGTGCACTTGGCGCCTTCTTCCCACTCTCCCAACTCTTGGTTGAGGGGGAAGTAGGAAAGGAAGAAGGAAATTCCTGTCCCTCTGAGTGCTGGCCCCGCCCAGCGGATAACTGATCTATCCTAGATCCGCCCAGAGTCTCAAAGGGGCGGGAGCTGTGGACCTGGGAAAGCCGCGAGGGTTTCTTTGCTACTTCCTGAGAAAATCTTTGGCTCCATTAAGTGAGACAAAGGGTGACTGAGGGAACCATATAACGGGAAATTAGCATTTACGGGAGAAACAAGCTTAAATAGGTTTTAATAAGGATTAAAGTGTTGTGCCACCACACCCCTTCGGGTGTTTTGCCTGCATATATGTGTGTGTACCACAAGCATTCATTGTGCCCACAGAGGACAGAAGAGGAACTGAGAGGGCACTGGATCCCTTGGAACCGAAGTTATAGACACAGATGGCTGTGAGCTTCCGCAGAAGTGCTGGGAACTGTGCCTGGGTCCTTTGGAAGAGCAGTGGTTGCTTGCTCTTCAGGAGGGGCATGTCCTCAAGTTCTGGCAGGCAACCAGACCAATGGCAACAGTTTATATTGTCTGAGGAAATCTCTTGGACTATCAAACCACAAAACTCAAAGGAGGTTTCACACACCTGGCACCAGATTTTTTTCTCCTAATGTCTGTGCTTCCAGGGGAGGGCATTATTCCCCAGGATGGGATATTTCCAATTAAACTACATGTACATATTTTGTATCTGCATTTTTAAGAAAGCCTATGAGAACTAGATCTGCCTATGGATTTTTTCAAACACCCAAAGCATTCTTTATCCATTCCCTCTCCTGCTAGCTTTCCCACCCCGTATATCACCCTCCCCCCACCCCCACCCCCACCCCCGTCATTGCCCTCCCCACTTACGTTCCCCCCATTTCCCCTTCCTGTCTTCATGATACCTGTGCTCTACTACAGAGCCAAGAAACCAAAAGAGATATTCCTTTTTTATATGTGCTCTGTGATTGTTAAAGGTTTTTGCTGTTGTTGGTGTTTCATTTTTCTAGAGACAGAGTTTCTCTGTGTACCCCTGGCTGTCCTGGACCTCGCTCTGTAGATTCAGACTGGCCTCAAACTCAGAGATCTACCTGCATCTGCCTAAGTACTGGAACTAAATATGTGTGCTACCACCTCCCAGTGTTAATTTTTTAAATTACCAGACAAATTGTTGCCTTTCATTATTGATGAAATGACATTTTTATAGATGTGTTTCATTTTACTTTTTCATTCCCCCTTCCCCCACTCTACCCTGTACCCCTGATTTCCTGTTTCTATCTGATCGTCCTGTACCTCCACTCAAATAGTCCTTCTCCTATTTGGTTGAAAGCAGCCCATTCTACTAAAAATTCCTTCCATGTATGTTCCTGATACCATTTTTCACATGACCTCAAGTGTGAAACAAGACACATGTCCATTTTCTGATGAATGTTTAAACAAAATGCTTAAATGTTTTCATTTTGTTGTTTCTGAAACAAGGACTCACACTGTAGCCTGAGCTGGCTGAACTACATCCCTAGCTCTTTTTAATCAAAAATTTGTTTTGAGACAGGGTCTGGCTAAGTTGCCCAAGCCAGCTTTGAACTTCCTACCCTCCTGCTTTTACCTCCAGAGTAGCTGGAGTTACAAGTCTGTACCACCAGGCCAAGCAAGTGAGGAATAGTTTAATTCAAGTATCTTATCGAAACTGTTCTGTAAGTTATTCTGTTCATTTTCTAAAAACATTGACAACATTTTGTATATCATTAAATATTTGCATCCTATTCTGGCTGACTGTGCTGAGAACTGAACCTCATGCTTAATATATACCCCAGTCCCTACATCTCTACATTAGCCCCTATATCTTTGCATTTCCTTATGATTTCACTATGTCATTTAAGGAACTACATATGGCCTAGCATTGGGTTAGGGCAGGATGAATACTCTTTTTGCTCGAATGGTTTTACTGCCTGATTCAAAGAAGAATATGGATAACACATCATGTTTCAGAAAGTTACTAGGAGCACCTGTGTCTGTCTATTGTAGTCAGAATTTCATTTTTCACCAGCCAGTTCCCCCCCAAAAAACCACAAAGAAACTTCTTATTAATTATAAATGTGCAACCAATTGCTAAGACTTGATTTTTAGCTAGGCCTTGTACCTTAAATTAACCCATTTCTATTAATCTATGTGCTGCCATATGGCTCATCGCTTGTTACCTCATATCCTGCTCCCTCTGTATCTTGCCAATGACACTCAGACTCAGCCCTTGTCCCTCCCAGCATTCTCTCTGCCCAAAAAAATCCTGTCTAGGTATTGACCAATCGGCTTTTTATTCACAATGAGAGCAATACATATTTACAGTGTACAGAGATTGTTCCACAGCAGTCTATAGCCAGCTAGAAATTACAATTGAGTACAATGTTCAAGCCAGATGTTCCTCTGTCAATGCTAAAACAGCTTTTGTGGAGAGAGAGAGAGAGAGAGCTCATTTGGTAGATTGCTTACCAAGTATGCAGGAAGTCCTGGCTGGATTTGATTCCCAGCACCACAAAATTCAAGCATGGTGGTACATGAATATAACCCCAGCACATAAGGGGAAGAGTTAGGAAGATCAGAAATTCAAGATCACCCTTGGCTACATAGTGAATTTGAGAATAGCCTGGGCTACTGATGAATCAGCCTTCCTCCATCTTAGAGTTAAAGATCATCTTATAATAAAGACAAACTATGTTCATTCCTATTTATGATTAAACCTTTACTTCTCAAGGATTGGGCTATATCTCACCTGTAACCTTATCTACACATGGTTCTCTATGGCCTGCTCTGAGAAAAGACAACCATATCTTTGTTTCAAAACGTTGTTATGACTACCTGTTGTTATAACTAAATTGTTATGCCCACCTTGCCACTATGTCTTTGTTTGAGGAGACTGTTATGATGAATTTGTTATGCTTTTGTTCTCTTCCTGTAACGCCACCTACTTTGTCCACCAAATCCTCCCTTTTGGAAAGCCCCTACCTCTAAGCTACAAAACCTTTTTCTTCCTCATGTCCATTGTTGACCTCTTGACTCCAACTTAGGGGAGGGAAGTCCATGTACACAAATAAAAATAAAAAAGCTTGCTTTAATTAATTTGGCAATGATGACTTGGGTTGGTGGTCTTTCTCCTCTCATCTTTGGTATTAAGTGTAAGCTCTCTCTCTCTCTCTCTCTCTCTCTCTCCCTCGCTCTGTGTGTGTGTGTGTGTGTGTGTGTGTGTGTGTGTGTGTGTGTGTGTGTGTGTGTGTTTTCAAGTCAGGGTTTCACCATGTAGACCTGACTGTGCTAGTGTGCTAGAACCAGCTCTGTAGACCAGACTGTCCCCAAACACAGAGATTTGCCTGCCTCTGGCTCCCAAGTGCTGGGACTAAAGAAGTGAGCCACCACCACCTGGCAACAAATTCTATTAGAAAAACCAGCAATGATAAAATCCCATGATACACTTGCAATATATTGAATTAGAGTTTTCAAAACCCTTTGGCTCCATTAAGAATATAGGATTATGAATATGTGCTTGTAGCACACCCAGAACAATTGACATTAGATAGGACATAGAAAAAGAATTCCCTGCTTATTGCATAACTATTATTAATGAATTTCTAAAGGCATGTGCCACCTCTGCCCTGTGTGCTCTCGCTTTCTCTGCCCCAGTTCTATTAATGGGAGCATCAAGTATGGGACATTGAAGCTAGCTGTGTAAAATCTAGTATAAGCTCAATAATCATTTAATAATATTCTCAGCCTTTGGGTGGGTAGAAAGTAGTGGTCTGTTGCTTTATTCCAAAAGGAATTCACTTGATAGTACAGGGATATTAGTTCATACAGAGAGGTGTGTAGTCTGAAGTTTTCCTGTGCCCTGCCTGGTCCCACAGCTGCTCAGACCCAAACAAACTTACAGAGGCTTACATTAATTATGAATTGTATGGTGATGGCCTATGGCTCAAGCTTCTTACTAGGTAGCTCTTATAACTAAAATCAGCCCATTTCTATTAATCAATATGTCACCACGTGTTCCATGACTTTACCTATGTGCCATTACATGCTGCTTCTTTGACTGCAAGATAGTGTCTCTCCTGCCTCTTCTTTTTCAAAAGTTTCCCTATCTCCCTTGGATTTTCCCACCTGGCTCCTTCCTGCCCTGCCATAGGCCAATGCAGCTTTATTTATCAACCAATCAGAGCTACACATATTCACAGCATACAGAAAGATCCCACAGCCCTTCCCCTTTTCTATCTAATAAAAAGGAAAGTTTTAACTTTCACATAGTAAAACTGCATATAATAGAAGAGTTATCAAGCAAGAATTGCAGTTATAATATCTAGACTATTTGTATTTGGCAAAAATCAAAGAAAATATTCTATCTAGCCTATATTTGTGAGTCTAAAGTTTCGTATTTAATTTATCATTTATCATAATTAAGGAAAAATTATAATTATAATTATCTTTTCTACAACTACATCAAAGACTCCAGAAGGATATATTACCTAAGAAAACAGGAAGTACGTTGTAAGCAACTTCCAAAAATCTAAAATAACACAGATAGCTGGCTGCCTGTACAAGTTTTTGTGTTTGAGTCTCTCTCAGTTTTCTGCAAGGAATCACGACCACACCTAACAGCAAATTTGAAGTCTCTAAAAAGATGATGGGGCCCCACAATGACTATTCCACATGGACAATAATAATACCACTAAGCTGACAAACATCACCCAAAGATCAGCTTTGGACTACAAACTGCTCAGGACAATTCCAAAATGGCTATCTGCGATGGTCCAGTCTCACAGACTACTTGAACAAGGACTTCAGATAAGCCCTGCACTTTTGCATTATGCAGAGACTGGACAACAAATGATATAGCTACCTCCCCCAGGACTTGACAATTAATTCAAAATTTTTCTTTTCAGGATCCCCTAAAGTTTCCTTTGTCCCCAAACAGCAGGAATTAATTTTACTAACATGGCGCCCACATTTCCAAGAGGTGGTATGAGTGGTATTTGGTCTGTTTATGGGTTTATGATAATTATTGTTTAGGATGGTTGGTTACAATTTGTTATTGTTAAGGATCAGAAGAAAAGGATAAAAAAGGAGATTAGATAAATCTTGTTGGTAGGTTCTTCTATGAAAAGAAAGGAAAAAGAAAAAAGAA